TCCTAGAATCCTGCCAAGGATTGATATTAAGCTGCTTGTTCTGTAGTTTGAGAAATCTTTATTTCAACTATATCTTGAAAATTCAAATGTCTTTAATGAGAGTCAGTTTCATTTACAAGTCGCCTTTGTGAGTGGGATGTAATTAGCTTGGGTCAGGAGACCTGAGCTCTTTACAGCATCTAGGTCAACCATATCACCTTACAGGTCGGGAAGCCAAGGTGCCCTGAGATGGAGATTTCTTGATGCCATTTAGGTAAATAGTTGAAAAACTAGGACTAGAGCCTCCGTCTCCTGACCTGCAGCCAGTGTTCTTTCCATAATCCACCCGGGGTTCATTCTTATCAAGTTATGTTAGTTTTACTCTATTCCATGGCCTCTGAATACAGTTTTAACTTTGGAGAGCCACTTTGCAAGTATTGATGTATGCTAGTCACAAGGGAAATGATTGCAGTGGGTCAGTGCAAATAAGTGACCTCCAGTGGGAAAATTTATCAGCTCACTTCCTACATTAGTACCTAAAGAGTAGGATGTTAAGAATCAATGTACATTTTCTTTAAATACATTCATGTCATAAAAAAATGCATCTATCCTGATTCTGTTGCAGTTTAGTTAGAACCATTCTGAATTGAACTACTGTTTTGGCCAGGAGGTCTCTTCTGGTGAGGTTCAGTTCCCCAAGGACCTTGACTGCCGATGCAGCTGATACTAGCCATTGCTGAGAAAAACCTCCCTCCAGTCTCTGTTGCTATTAGAGTAGTTGTTTTCTTGGTTTGTTATGCGCACCCTAAGAATTAGCTTGTGTGGATGTGGTCTTACAGTGGTAACATGTACAGGGGTATGTAATTATCTGAGTGAAGTTAATCTCTCCTATTTATGGGATGGTGTAGTGGGCAGTCTTTTACTAGTTTTCTTAATAACTCAGGAAGAGTGAAGAAAGATTCATGAACTTTCTTAAATTAGAAAATATGGGCATGAGCTCTTGTCATTGCTAAATTGAGTTGATGACAGTTTCTTTGTACTATTTTATAATCCTGTAGGGCTACTTGTTACCATTAGCCCTATGAAACATCATGGCAGAGTAGAAAGAATTTATGCTTTAAATTCAGTTATGTTTAGGATTTGCCAGTTGCTACCTGTGTGGTTTTGGAAGAGTTACTTAATTTTTCTGACTTCTAATTTCTTTAGCTGTTGGCCAAGATTAGAAATTACATATGAAGGCCTCATATGTAGAAATTACATATGGAGCCTAGTATGGTGCCTCATATTAGAAATTCTATGTGAAGACCCTGCTTTGGTGCCTGGTATTAAGTAGGTGATGAATAAAAATACTTATATATTTATACTTTTGATTTTATATTTTAAAAACTATGTAATCTTAAGCTTAGGGCTTCCCTGGTGGCTCAGTGGTAAAGAATCCACCTGCCAATGCAGGAGATGCAGGTTTGATCCCTGGGTCGGGAAGATCCCCTGGAGAAGGAAATGGCAACCCACACCAGTACTCTTGCCTGGAGAATTCCATTGACAGAGGAGCCTGGTAGGCTATAGTCCATGGGGTTATAAGAGTTGGACACGACTTAGCGACTGAACAACAACAATCTTAAATATAAATGTGGATTGTTCATCTTTGACAGTGAGAAATAATTGCATTTTGGGGATAACTTGCATCTAGAAATATTTTAGATGATTGCTTCAAGAATATTGAGTCTTGACTCAGAAATTGAGTCAACAGACCTTTGTGTGGAATTGATTTTTAACTATAAACATGATCATGGCGTATAAGGACATATTTTAATAGTGTAATTGAATATACATCCATGATAGAATTTTTTTTCATGGACAGAGTGTTTCAATCATTTTTCTCTTATCAAATACTAATTCAAAATGTAAAGCTAAATCTTTGAACATTCATTTTATACTTAGGTATATGTTAGGCTTGAATGGTATTTCATTGTTACATTTTCCAGTGAAGATTGGTATAGTGATATTTAATTTTAGCTTTAAGGTAAAGGGATAAATTGTTTTTAAATGACTGGACATTTTTAGTACGTATGGCTGAATTGGTTATGAAGAGATTAAGTTTGTAGCTTTGAAGTAATGTCACTTGCATTTGTATTATATCACTTGCTAGAACAACTCCATAAAGATAGAGAGCAGGTGGCAGCGGCTTTCTTTAACCACTGAGACCATAGAAGCACTGATAGGAAGTTAGTGGAAGTGCTAGGATTAGGAAACCATTCTCCTGAATCAAAGCCAAATATTTTTGTCTGCTGAGCTGTATTGGATATTACAGGTGAAAGTATTCTTGTGAGTGAATTGCGGTTCATAGATTTTCTTGGGAACTGACTCACCTGATGTTTAAATATCTGATACATTTGAATTTTCTAACCTTTTAAATATGGTTAGTGTAAACATTAGTGTTAGTCTGTCAGTTGTGTCTGACTCTTTGTGACCCTATGGGCTGTTGAGTGGTTCGCATTCATTGGTATATTTTCATTCCCCACCCTTACCTCCCTCCCCTCACTTCCTCAGGATCTTTGGGCATAGAATGCTTGTTTACGTGATGAAAGAAAAGTTAATCTTCTAGTGGGAAAGAATCTGCCTGCAGTGCAGGAGATGCTGATTCAATCACTGGGTGGGGAAGATCCCCTGGAAGAGGAAATGGCAACCCCCAAATCCCATGGACAGGGGAGCCTTGCTGGCTACAGCCCATGGGGTCACAGAGTTGGACACAACTGAGTGATTGAACAAGTCTTCTACTTTTCTGATTTCAGTTGCTCCCACTTAGTCTTTTTATTTAGATACCTTCTTTGATACATATTTAAAACTTGATCTTAGGCTTTCTGATTAAAACAGACACATACATATTGATTTTATTTGAAGAAACAAATCTATATGATAGAAAACACAGACAACTAAAGGGAAGCAGTACAACTATACTAGTACTGCTAGTAATGCTAGCAGTATCATTTTTGGCCATGTGCCAGGCATTGTCCTAAGTGCTCTCTCTGTATACGAACTCACTTAATCAATTCTGAATACCATTATTCTCATTTTACTTGTAAGGGAACTGAAAGACCAAGATTAAATGATTTGCTGGGTACTTCTACCTCCAGCTAGTAAGTACAGAGCTGGAAGTCAAACCCGGAAATACTGGCCCCAATCAGATCAAATATATGATAATGACTTTCTCTAAGTGGAATGAGGGCTACCAGTTAGTACAAGGACATACCATTTTATTAAACTGATAGGAGTTTTTAAAGATAGGCAGTTTGGGAGGAGGTTATTTGTGTTGATGAGACTATTGAAAAGCAGTATGGTAGCATTCTTTTGTGAGTCTACCAAAGACTAAAATATTTGTAGTCTTTGGTAATTCTGTACCCAACAATCTCACCTAAGGAAATAGTTGAGGAAAATGTTCAAGGATATTCACCAGTTATAATAAATATAATAGTGAGAAAAATGAAGACTGTCCAGTTGTTACTGAATAAATTGTTTTCTCCAAGCAGTGAATAGTATGAAAATATTAATTATTTTTGAATGGTAATTAGTAATATATAAAAATATTTATAGTAAATGAAAAAGGATATGAAAACATGTAAACTTTAAAATGTTTATGTATAGAAAAACAGGAAAGTATGATGCTGATAATTATTTCTCATATGATAATGAAAATAATTATTTCTTGTGTGATTAGTTTACTTTTCTGTTTGAACCTTTTCCTTGGCCAGGTATATTTATTTGGAGGAAAAACCAAGTGGTCCAAAGAGAAAGCCTAAATGATGCCAATACCAGGTTTTCATTTTCATTAAAGATTAGATTTCCACATCTCAGACTGTGAAAGGAAAAATTAGTGAATTTCAGACAGTTCTAGTTTGGATGTTAGTATTTTTGGAATAATTTTTTCTTTAGTGAAGCTTTTTTGGGGATTGAAGAAAACTGATAATTTTTTCCTAGAAATGTTCATTATGCTGATTGTTTTAGGACTTCAGCTTGTTTTAGTTATGTTAGTAGAAGGTAACAGTTATTTTTCTCACCTGTGATACTTGTTTTTCGAAAAGCAGCTTCTTGACAAAAATTACTAACTTGGTTGTTGGGAGTGGTGTGAGGAGGGGGAATATGAGTGAGTAAGGGTTAAATGCAAGGGATACATGGATTCTTTGGTACAGAATTATGTTATGAATCAGTTTTACTATCAGTTTTGAATACATAGTTGTAGTTCTTAGTCAAGTAAGGAATTCAACTTTTGTTTGTGTTGAAACAACCTTGAAACTTAGTTCTTTTTAAACCTAATACTTAAGACATTTTAGAATACAAATTCACAAGAGAGATCAAAGATAGAGGATCTGCTCTCAGTTTGTTTAAAGTTACTGTGTTTTAAAATGTGTTTAAAAAACCAAAGACCAAACTACACTAGGTAATTGTTATAAAGGAAAGCTCTTCTGTGTGCCACAAACTAAATAGCAGGAATAAATTGTTGATAACATTCCATTAGTTTATTAGCAGGTTATTTTGGCTTTCATAATGAACTACTGTGTTACTGCATTGTATTTCCCCGATTAAAAAAGATTTAAAGTATAGTTTCTGGATGGGATGAAATTGAGGAAGTTCTTTGAAAGAAATTATTCCAGTTCTACAGACTCTTGCTTGATTTCTAAATGTAATTTATGAGTTAAATAAGGAATAATAATATAGAAAGTTTTATGTATAGGGACTTTATAGTAAATAATAGGTAAAAAGTGGTTCAACAGGAAATAATGATTACTTTTTTGGTGTATTTTGATATGTAATATATGTAGAAATGTTGATAGGAAGAAATGAACTTTTTACCCCCTTAAAAAAAAATCAAGGATTGACAGAAATTCTTCAGTGTAAAAAATCTTATGGTAATGAGGTATGCTGTAAATATTTATTTTTAGCAGATTTATTTTTCTGTATTGAAGCCTGTTTTTAGTGTTCTTTATGTGAAGAAAACAGTCAAAATTGTAATTTTCTTTTTCCAGGCTGAACTCACGGGAATCAAATGGCGTAGGTACAATTTTGGAGGGCACGGGGACTGTGGACCCATAATTTCAGCCCCAGCCCAAGATGATCCAATCCTGTTAAGTTTCATCCGCTGTCTCCAAGCCAACTTGCTGTGTGTATGGCGCCGTGATGTCAAACCAGATTGCAAAGAGTTATGGATATTCTGGTGGGGAGACGAACCCAATCTAGTGGGTGTAATACATCATGAACTACAGGGTAAGTTTTTTGTTTTTTTTTTCGTAAAAGTTATCTGCATTATGTATTTTTTTGAATAGTGGTAAATTCTGAAAAGGTTATTAAGACTTGCTGAGAAGAAAAATCCAAGTGTTTAATGGGTTTGTGTCAAAGGGAAACTCCTTACTCTCACCCCTCTTCTTTTCACCCCTGTTTTTTTCAGATTCTTGCCCATTCATACTGGGTGGGAATCAGTACCTTGTGATCCACTCTATTAAAGTATAGTATCCCCTGGGTGTCTGGGTTGGAATTGAGGCTAAGATCTACTGTATTAAAATGATAGTGAAATGTGAGTTATTAGCAAGTCAGTGAAATGGAAAGAATTTTTTTTTTTTTTTCTTTTTTGGACTCTTGCTGTTACGGTTTTTGCCAGCTGAACTCTGGTGGAAAATTGTAAAGTGATAATAGAAACTTAGCGCAAGCCTTATTGGACAGAATTATGAGGTGTCATTGCATAATATATTTGAAGAAAGATTCATGTCACGAATCTACTCTGGTTTTGATGTAGCAAGTTTTCCTGTGTTTTGTTCTTGCTTTTTATATAAGTAGGTGATTCCAGGAATTATTTGCTCTAATGCTGCCTAACGTTTAACTTCAGATTACCTCTAATATATGGAAATTTTGAATTAATATAAGACTTTGATTTTTCTGAGCTATTGATACTTTTTGTATTTACCACCAGTTTATATATATATATATTTATATTATATATATATATTTACCACCAGAGGAAATTTTATTGATATTCTTTGAATTTCTAGTAAAACTTTTTCACCTCTTTCCTTAGATGTTTTCATCTAGTATGCTAAAGAATTTTTCTAAATCAGGGCTAATTCTGATTTTTAGTTCAGATAGGCCATTAACTCTTTTTGACTTATTAGTCTCCTAGTGCCAGCATTTATAATGTCTAAATCACTCTTATTAATTTGTGGTTGAAAAATTTTGGTTAGTGTTTGAAATGTTTTGTTACTGCGTATATTTAATGTTTTTTATAGGAAGGAGTAAAACTAACTTTAATGTGAGGATCTGTTTTAAAGCTTCTAAATTTCCTTAAAGGATTTCCTGCCAACTTCTGCTTGACACCTTCCTCCCTTTTCTTTACAGCCACTTTTTTTATCTGTGATATCTCCTGCCACAACAGCCAGAGGGCAGTAAACCACAGTAGACTAATTGAGCTGTTTACTTTACGGTCCATTTGTTCAGCTCAAACCTTTCTCCCATAGTTTTTTAGAATATTTGGTTTATATATATAAGAATCTCTTCTGGGTAAGATTGCTTACTTAGCTGGTTAGTCAGCAAAATCTCAGAATTATATGCATTTCAAAGCTTATTACATGTAGTTTGCAGTGAACTCAGGTAAAATTAGTTTTAAACATCTGGTTTCTGTTTAACCAGAGTTTTTAAAATAAGATACCTCCTAAAAGATAGCATTTATATTTTTCCATTTAAGTATCAAAGCATATCTTTTTCTTCTTTCACAATCTTTTGTACACGTGGTAGAGGAATAGAGCCTTTTTTTTTTTTTCCCATTTCTTTCCCCTTCATTTTCCATGATTGTTTCTGACTCAATCTCACTCTCTTTCTTTACTCCCTGTTGATCCTTTATGTTTTAACTTTTTGGTCTGGTCTTTACTGTTAGCAACACAAATAATCACTTTATAATGAAGATGAAACCAAACCCAACTGTTATTTAGGCTTTTTTAGTTGATGTATAAAGTTATTTATCCGTACCCAAAAGGCACATGGTCAGTGTTTTTAGAAATAACTTACTAAATTACTGTGTTATTTCTCGTGGGTTTTGTTACTGTGTTAACAGAAAGATGTAGCTTGTTTGAGTATTTTTATAGTTCTATAGATTGCCTATGTACATTTGTTCATGTTTTAAGTGTTTTTTTTTATGGTAAATATTTAAGATTCAATTCTTTTAGATCACTTTATAAATTACAGAAATACTACATTTTAATTAGAAAATTAGGAAAACAGAACTGCCAAAGGAAGAGAACAAAGACACAAGACTCCTGAAGGTTTTAGTGTTTGGTGTTTCTCTGTGCAAATGGAAGTGGCATCATACTGTTTTGTAACTCAGCCCTTTTCACTTAACAGTGTCTTATGAATGTTTTCACCTGAAAATAATTGCTTTTTAATTTTCTTCCCTATTGAGTCTGAAAACAGTGTAAACTGTTTATTTTTCGGTACGTCACCGGGGAAGTATTAGAGTGATGAAACAATCATAACTTTGTTAAGTACATCTACTCTTTTTAATATGTTGAATGTGTGACAGTTATTAGATCAAGGCAAATGATCTTTTCTGTAGGTAAAAATGGTTGCAAAGAGTAGTTTCATGTTTCAACTAATATTAGGAAATATATGAAACTTAATTAGAAAAATGAGTGACATAAAGACTGCTTTGTTTCAAGTGAGGGAGAATATGACATGTAGAGCAATCATGAAAAAAGGATACCAGGGGAGTATTGTAATGGTAGTCACACAAATTTAGGATACTTGCAGTCTGTTTCATTCTCTAGTATGTGTAAGAATGATTCCATTTTGGCTAAAATAAATTTTGTCAGGATCCTTTAATATTAAGATAATGGTACCATTATTTGTAGCATTCTCTTTTTATTTATTTATTTATTTTTATTTTAATTTTTTCCCAATTATTAGTTGGAGGCTAATTACTTTACAGTATTGTAGTGGTTTTTGCCATACATTGACATGAATCAGCCATGGATTTACATGTGTTCCCCATCCTGAACCCCCCCTCCCACCTCCCTCCTCCCCATCCCATCCCTCTGGGTCATCCCAGTGCACCAGCCCTGAGCACTTGTCTCATGCATCCAACCTGGACTGGCGATCTGTTTCACACTTGATAACATACATGTTTCGATGCTGTTCTCTCAGATCAGCCCACCCTCACCTTCTCCCATAGAGTCCAAAAGTCTGTTCTATACCTCTGTGTCTCTTTTTCTGTCTTGCATATAGGGTTATCATTACCATCTTTCTAAATTCCATAGTAGCATTCTCTTTTTAAAGGACATTTTACTGTCCTTTAAAATGCTTTTTAGTTATGTTATTAGGCATTTGCCTTTGTTTTTACAGCTTAGCCCAAATAGCATTCTACTAAGAAATGTCACAAAGTGTTGGATTTAAATATATGCAGAAGGAGAAGAATCCTATAGGATACACATAGTTTTATTTTACATTTTTTGTTCAAATGCTTAAAATACCTATGAAATAGTCTATGAGAAGACTAAGACACGTTTGTAACTGGTCCCTGTCACTTGGATAAACACTTTTGGGCTCTTGTTTAGGGAGTTGTTGTTTATATTGTATAGCATAGTGGTTCAGGGGCTTGGGTTTGAACCCCTGCTTATTGACTTGCTTGCTCTGTATCTTTGGTTTAGTTATTTACCTTATTTGTGCTTTAGTTTCCTCACTCTAAATTGGGTTACAAGAACTAAGTACAGAACAGCACGGAGAACAAGCTAATCTAGAATTGTAACTGCTGCTTCTACTGCAGTGCCAGCAATTAACTCAGACATTAAAATGAAAACATTCTGGCAGTTGGTCTGTGCAGTAAAACATCAGTATTTGCTGATGTTTGTCAAATACTAGTTTTTTAAAGTATACTTTTAGGTTGAAGTAATCATTTTTGACTTTGTTAATGTTGAATAACTGAGAATAGTAAACTATTAGCAGCAAAGATGTTCCTCCTCATAGGTAATTTGTCTAGATAGATAGAGTCTGTAAACAGAATTTCATAACAAACCTTAAATTATGTTATAAAGAGGTCAGAACTTTAAGATTTGACTCTTGGATCCCTGTAATGTAGATTTGTAACTTTACTGCCTTCTCCACATAGAGGTATCAGAGGACATTGGCTGAATACTGAATATACAAGTATTTCCTTCTTTGTGTCCATCTCTAAGTGCCTGTATAGCAGGTCCAATTATAGGGCTTTGAAATCTCTACCCTTGATAAATTATAGTCTGAAAAGGGTATAGGACAGACACACAGATATGTATAATGCAGGGAACACTGTAAGTATATAAGAGAAATAGAGTAGATTGACTGTGTTCCACATGAGCAAACATTCAATTCCAGGTGTGTGATGTGCTGAGTCGCTCAGTCGTATCCGACTCTTTGCAACCCCATGGACTGCAGCCCGCCAGGCTCCTCTGTCCATGGGGTTTCTCCAGGCAAGAATACTGGAGTGGGTTGCCATGTCCTCCTCCAGGGGATCTTCCCAGCCGAGGGATCGAACCCAAGTATTCTGCATTGCAGGTGGATTCTTTACCATCTGAGCCACCAGGGAAGCCCTCAGTTCCAGGACTAATGCATAAATAAGTGTTCTATAAAGTTTTCACAAAAACCCTGTGAGTCCTAGTGAGAAACCTTCTTGGTTTCTGGTCTGTTTATTCAGTCTATTAGGCAAGAGCTGTGATCAGCCCTGGATGTGTAAAAATGAATCCTCATCTTTAAAGGAGCTCACAGTCTTACTGGGGAAGCAGCTAAATGAGTCCATAATGATGATACAGTGGAGTAAGCCGCAAATGTTTAAGTTAGGGATCTCGCAGAAGTACCAGATGCAACCTCAGGGAAAGAGAATAGGGAGATAGGGGTGAAGCCCAGAGGCTGTGAGGCTTGTGGTGTCTTACAGGATGCATCTGTTACATAGGTTGCAATGGAATTTGCACTAGTCAGAGAAAGTAGCCTCTATAAATGGGCCTTCGGGCAGTGAATGAACTGTGGAAGAGGCAGGCTTGCCCAGAACGTGGGGTATGAGTGAGATAGTTGGGGGAAACAAAAAGTGGGGAGGTGGGCCATAGTGTGGAGTTCACTGAAGCAAGGACTTAATCTGATAGATTTTGAGGAATTGTTACAGGTTTTTGATCAGGAAAGAGATAATTAGATTATATATAAGATTGAATACAGACAGGAAGACCATAATGTTGTATATTTTATTCTAAATTGAGTTATGA